ACATTGTCCCACGCCTGCCACGCAAACGAGGCGGAGACCAAGGGACGCCAGGGCGTACATCCGACCCCTTGGCGGTGCATATTGTCCCACGCCTGCCACGCAAACGAGGCGGAGACCAAGGGACGCCAGGGCATACATCCGACCCCTTGGCGGTGCATATTGTCCCACGCCTGCCACGCAAACGAGGCGGAGACCAAGGGACGCCAGGGCGTACATCCGACCCCTTGGCTGCTCACATTGTCCCACGCCTGCCACGCAACTTCTTACCAAGGGACGCCAGGGCGTACATCCGACCCCTTGGCTGTCCCACGCCTGCCACGCAAACGAGGCGGAGACCAAGGGACGCCAGGGCGTACATCCGACCCCTTGGCAGTGCACATTGTCCCACGCCGGCCACGCAAACGAGGCGGAGACCAACAGACGCCAGGGCGTACATCCGACCCCTTGCCGGTGCACATTGTCCCACGCCTGCCACGCAAAAGAGGCGGAGACCAAGGACGCCAGGGCGTACATCCGACCCCTTGGCGGTGCACATTGTCCCACGCCTGCACGCAAACGAGGCGGAGACCAAGGGACGCCAGGGCGTACATCCGACCCCTTGGCGGTGCACATTGTCCCACGCCTGCCACGCAAACGAGGCGGAGACCAAGGGACGCCAGGGCGTACATCCGACCCCTTGGCGGTGCACATTGTCCCACGCCTGCCACGCAAACTAGGCGGAGACCAAGGGACGCCAGGGCGTACATCCGACCCCTTGGCGGTGCACATTGTCCCACGCCTGCCACGCAAACGAAGCGGAGACCAAGGGACGCCAGGGCGTACATCCGACCCCTTGGCTGCTCACATTGTCCCACGCCTGCCACGCAAAAGAGGCGGAGACCGGGACGCCAGGGCGTACATCCGACCCCTTGGCTGCTCACATTGTCCCACGCCTGCCACGCAAACGAGGCGGAGACCAAGGGACGCCAGGGCGTACATCCGACCCCTTGGCAGTGCACATTGTCCCACGCCTGCCACGCAAAAGACGCGGAGGAGTGAGTGAGTGTCTTTGTGTGTGTGAGTGAGAGAGTGAGTGAGAGTGAGTGAGTGTGTGTGTGTGTGTGAGTGAGTGAGTGTGAGTGAGTGAGTGAGAGTGAGTGAGTGAGTGAGTGAGAGTGAGTGAGAGTGAGTGAGTGTGTGTGTGTGAGTGAGTGAGTGTGAGTGAGAGTGAGTGAGTGTGTGTGTGTGAGTGAGTGAGTGTGAGTGAGTGAGTGAGTGAGAGTGAGTGAGTGTGAGTGAGTGAGTGAGTGAGTGAGAGTGAGTGAGTGTGTGTGTGAGTGAGTGTGAGTGAGTGTGAGTGAGAGTGAGTGAGTGAGTGTGAGTGAGTGAGGGTGTGTGTGTGAGTGAGTGAGTGTGTGTGAGTGAGGAGGGAGGACGGGAAGGAGGACGAGGAGGAGCGGATACAGAACTAAAAACAAAAACCCCACACGTCAATGTGGGGAACTATGGAAAATCACCATTTTTAATGGGAAAATCCACTATTTCCATGGCCATTTTCAATAGCTATGTTAGTTTACCAGAGGGTAAGTTAATTTATAAGTTCAAATAACTCGAATAACTTGGGTTTAATAGTAGATCTATACTATTCTGGGGGTTATAAACCAACGAACATCAATGGGGGGAACCTTACAGTACATGGATGGACACAGCTTGAAACGTTGCTGTAGAACCAGCAGGAATCAAAGATGTCAGCAACAAGAATAACTAGTAAACATGGTGATATGGTGATATCATGGTATATATTCATATAATATATATATATAACTGATAATATGATATAACTGTTTGTAGATGTCATCTGTTCCATCAATGATTGCAATTGCAATCAACAAAAAACGGTGATGTAACCATCAGCCAGTGGACAAAACGATAGAAACCGATAAACAATCCGCGTCTTTTTGGGCCTGTAAAAAACATCTACAAACAGTTATATCATATTATCAGTTATGTATATATTATATGTGTATATCCCATTATATCACCATGTATATATATATATGTAAACATTTTTACTAGTTGAATCCTCATTTAAAAATCACAACATATATCCCATGACAAACTCATGATATCACCATGATATCACCATGATATCACATTTTTTTCAAGTTAAAACCTATTTTTTTTCAGTTTTCATGGCTGAAGCCCAGCATTTTTCTCGAAATTCGACCGGCTCCTGCCAAGTCCCTGGACGAATCGACTCCACGCGGACGCAGAAGAACCAGCCTTGATCCAGCAGGTGGGGTGAGATACCGGGCTGGTGGGATGTGGGATGATGGTTAATGGATATAACTTGATATAACTGGTAAATGATGGTTAATGGGATTTTAGTGATTTAATGGGATTTATAGTGATTTAATGGGATTTATAGTGATTTAATGGGATTTTATAGTGATTTAATGGGATTTTATAGTGATTTAATGGGATACATCATCCCGTTGCAAATGGTAAACTTGGGGATGGTTCACTAGTGGTAAGCATACAAAAAGCGAACTGGAAAATGGTAAGCCATGGTCCATAGAAATAGATAGTTTACCTATTTTTATTGCATGGTGATTTTCTAGTTTGCTATGTGAATCATTACCAGAGGGTATCTCATAATTAATATGTATACCATCTGGTTATTTAACATAGCTATGGAAAAGCCATTATCAATGAAGGTTTATAGCTGGGAAAATCATCTGTAAATGAGCCATTTTCCATGGCTATGTTAAATAACCAGAGGGTAACACTTTGCGAACTGGAAGCCATGGCCCATAGAAATAGATGGTTTACCTATTAATAGCATGATGATTTTCTAGTTCGCTATGTGAGTCATTACCAGGGGGTAAACCAACTATGATAGTATCTGGTTGGTGGTATACCTACCCCTCTGAAAAATATGCGAAAGTCAGTTGGGATTATGACATTCCCAACTGATTGGAAAAATAAAATTCATGTTCCAAAGCACCAATCAGATTTATATTTATTTAATGTATAAATACATCGATAAGGAACCACTGCTTGATTAATCTCACTTTGTTATTGCGTAAGCCTAATGATCATTCATTAACCATGTCCACATCTTTTAATTAAACCTTGAACCATTGGGGCTCATTATAACAGTTTACAGTGTACAGACGCACCCTCGTGACTTTCGTCGAAATGTTGCCACCACGGTGCATCCATAGTTTGGGGATGTGAATTGAGATGAAGTATTTGTTGTACTTGGATGTGTATGTCGTATAATCATTATTTGTATAATTATATATAGATATAATATATATAATATAATATATATATATATATATTAATATATTAAATATAAATGTATTCAGGGCACCCGCAGCTTGGGTAAGACATTTCGCGCTGACGCTGACGACGCATTGTGACGACACATTGGCGATGCCCCCGGCCCCCCTGACGACGCATTGTGACGACACATTCCCTGACGACGCATTGCCCCCTGACAACGCATTACCCCCCGACGACGCATTGTGACGACACACTGACGACATTCCCTGACGACGCATTGCCCCCTGACGACGCATTACCCCCTGACGACGCATTCTGACGACAGATTCCCTGACGACGCATTGCCCCCTGACGACGCATTGCCCCCTGACGACGCGTTGTGACGACACATTCCCTGACGACGCATTACTCTCTGACGACGCATTACCCCCTGACGACGCATTGTGACGACGCATTCCCTGACGACGCATTCCCTGACGACGCATTCCCCCCTGACGACGCATTACCTGCTGACGACGCATTGTGACGACGCATTCCCTGACGACGCATTGCCCCCTGACGACGCATTACCCCCTGACGACACATTGTGACGACACATTCCCTGACGACGCATTGTGACGACACATTCCCTGACGACGCATTGCCCCCTGAGGACGCATTACCCCCTGACGACGCATTGTGACGACACATTCCCTGACGACGCATGCCCCCTGACGACGCATTGTGACGACACTTTCCCTGACGACGCATTGCCCCCTGACAACGCATTACCCCCCTGACGACGCATTGTGCGTATATTATTGCCTGACGACACATTGCCTGTTGACAGGCTAGGCATGACGAGCAAGGGCGCAGGCGTACTGTATTCTTTGTATGTGGGAAGATAAATAGAGGAATGTAGAGAGGAAGAGGAGCCGGAGGGCAGATAGGGATTTGGCCTGACCACCAAGGCTAGGTTATGTCGAAATATAAAGCGTAGAGGTAATTATCAAGATCGTGTGGCGTGCTTTTGCAACCTCAGTTGAAGATCCTTGAGGCAAGGATCAATCATTAAGTTGAAGTAGTAGAACCTTCTTATCTTCTTACCAAACCCAAACGAAGAGAGCGCCGGAGTGTTCCAGGAGAAAGCTCAGGAAGTTCAATGAAAAAGTATTGAGCGTGTAGCATTGAGAACATGCGGGAGTTGAGCGCGTAACATCAAGAGCCTGCTGGAAGTTCCAAGGCTAAAAGCATAGCACGGGAGGCTAGCATCAAGAGAACGCTGGCAGTTTCAAGAGGAAGTCAAGAGCGTAGCACCAAGAGCGTGTTGGAAGTTCCAAGAGAAACCTAAGCGAGCAATACCAAGAGAGCGTGTTGAAGGACCAAGAAAAACCTAAGAGTCTAGCATCCAGAACGTGTTGGAGGTCAGAGCGTGGCATCAAGCGAAGAACAAAAGAGCGTAGCAACTAGAGCGTCCTGGCGTGTTCCAGAACAAAGCTAAGAGCGTAGCAGGAAGAGCGTGACTTTCTCCAGACCGCAGCGTCAAGAGGCGGAGCGTAGCACCAACAAGAGCGCGTTGGCAGTTCCAAGAAAAAATAATAAGCGTATCATCACGATTGTGGTGGGCCGTAGCGTCAACAGCATCTTGGACTGTTCCAAGACGAGGTTCAGCGCGTAGCATCAAGAGAGTGTCAGAGCCGGAGCCAAGAACGTAGCATCAAGAGCGTGTTTTAATTCAATGTGTCACAAAAAGAAGCAAAAATAGCGCGCCATGCTTCAAGAGAAGCCAAGGGCGTAGCGTCAAGAGCGTGCTGGCACGTCCCAGGACAAGGCAAAGAGAAAGTGTTGGAAGATAAAACACACCAAGAGCGTGTTGGAAGTTCCAATAGACAGCTAAGAGCGTAGCATCAAGAGCTTGCCGGACTGGCCCAGGAGAAAGCTAAGAGATGCTCAGAGCGTAGCAGCAAAAGCGTGTCGGAAAACCCAAGATTAAGCCAAGAGCGTAGCACCAAGGGCTTGTTCGAACTTCCAAGAGAAAATTAGCATAGCATTCAAGAGGCGACTGTCTCCAGAGCGTAGCGTCAAGGGCGTGCTGAAACGCCTCAGGTGAAGGCCAAGAGCGTAGCATCAAAAGAATTTTCAAAATCTCAAAGAGCAAGCCCAGAGGCTATAGCATCCAGAGCATTTCGTTTGTTACTCTTCCCTTTCGTTTTGTCTTCCCTTCTGTTCCCTACGTCGCTCCTTTCGTTTTAACTTCTGCTCCGTTCGTTACTTCCTCCCCATTGTTTCATCTTATTCGTTCACCTCTTTCTCTCATTTAAAGGCGTTCATTTCGCGAAGTCCGTCGTTTCGCTCAAATCTTCTGTCCTGTTCTTCCTACTCTTCCTTTCCTGTCAACTCGCCCTTTTCATTGCGTCCGTCTTTTTGTTGCAACTCTTCCCTTCCATTCGTTGCTTCCTTCCTTTCGTTTCAACTCTTTGTAATCCCGTTCGCTGCTTCTTTCGTTTCAACTCTTCCCTTCTGTTCCCTATACGTCGTTCCTTCCGCTTTAAATCGGTTTAACTCTTCCCTTCCGTTCGCTACTTCCTCCCCCTCGTTTCAACGCTTCCATCCTGTTCATTTACCTCTTCCTTTCATGTCAATGCGTTCATGTCGCTATTTCCTTCCTTTTTTCAAGTCTTACATGCGGTTTGTTTATCTCTTCCTTTTTTCCAAGTCGTTCATTTCGTTACCTCATGTTACCTCCTTCGTTATAGTCATCATGATCGGTGTTGGGGTCCATAAACCAACCCTTCAAACCGTGACCATGGTTCCGCCAGTTCCTGGAACTGGGGGCCCAGTTCCTAACATGACAGGCCCTTGTAGGGAAAATATGCAAGTGAACCAAACAAAGACGTCCGTTATATGGTGAAAACCCACCATGGACAAAAAAATGTCCCTACCGTTTGCCAAAATAAAAACTAGATGCATATATGACATGCATGTAGGCTTTGAGTGTATGCATGCTTTTCTCCCAAGTCCTTGGTGAAAAAGTCGTCTTCGGGGGGCAATTCGTCTTCGGGGAATTCGTCTTCGCAATTCGTCTTCGGGGGGGAATTCGTCTTCGGGGGGCAATTCGTCTTCGGGGAATTCGTCTTCGCAATTCGTCTTCGGGGGGGAATTCGTCTTCGGGGGGCAATTCGTCTTCGGGGAATTCGTCTTCGGAATCCGTCTTCGGGTGGGAATTCGTCTTCGGGGGGCAATTCGTCTTCGGGGAATTCGTCTTCGTAATTCGTCTTCTGGTGGGAATTCGTCTTCGGGGGGCAATTCGTCTTCGGGGAATTCGTCTTCGGAATCCGTCTTCGGGTGGGAATTCGTCTTCGGGGGGCAATTCGGGGAATTCGAATTCGTCTTCGCAATTCGTCTTCGGGGAATTCGTCGTCTTAATTCGTCTTCTCGTCTTCGGGGAATTCGTCTTCGTAATTCGTCTTCGGGGGGCAATTCGTCTTCGGGGAATTCGTCTTCGTAATTCGTCTTCGGAATTCGTCTTCGTCTGCGGGTGGAAATGTCTTACCCGCACAGCGGGCTCAATGTATTAATATATTAAATATATATATGCATAGATATATGATATATGTATTGATTTAAAGGTGGGCGTAGTACTCATGATTCATAACCCACTTCTACATAGAAACCGGTCCAACCGTGGCATCTTTGTCCCCGCGAAGCAGTGGAGTCCCCAGAGCTTCACCCCGGGACCAGTGTCGAAGGGTCCTGACAGGTCCGGACTCGAGCATTGATACCTGGTGCTACCTACCATTTTTTGGCTCATCCCACGAATCGTACCCTCTGGTTATGTCAAAATAGCTATTGAAGCCATGGCCATAGAAATAGTGGATTTTCCCATTAAAAATGGTGATTTTCAATAGCTATGTTAAATTACCAGAGGGTAAGTGGGTTAGTTCACCCCAGTTTTTTGTGTGGATTAACCCTACTTATCCCATTTATAACTGGGGTGAACTAACCCACTTACTAAGTGGGATGAGCCACCAAGTACCATATAAGAGGCCTAAATTTCAGGGAATATCCCAAGAAAAAATGGCCTGAAAAATGGTACAGTACCTCCATTTTTGGTTGGCGGTTGAAGAACCCCTCTGAATATGAGTTCGACAGTTGAGAGTATGAAATTCCCAAGATATGATAATATATGGGAAAAAACGGTTACAAACCACCAGCCAGATACTGATCACCTGGGATAGAACCTTGGCTGTT